CCCTTAGCTGCCTTTCCCATCCCTCCCCTATTGTTTATAGCCATATTCTTCCTCCACTGACCGCCTCACACCAGTCACAGGCCTCTCCGCCCCTGAATTCACATTCCCACCTGCCCCTGTACCTCTTCCCACTTCCAAGAGCGAGATTCTTCTCAAAATAAGAGAAGAAAGATCTCAAATCAGTGACCTGACCTTTCATCTTAATATCCTGGAAAAAAGAAGGAGTAAACTAAACCTAAAGCAAATGGGGCCAGGTGCAGCGGATCACCTGAGGTCAGAAGTTTGAGACCAGCCTGGCTAACATGGGGAAATCCCGTCTCTATTAAAAAAAAAAAAAAAAAAAAAAATCAGCCAGGCATGGTGGTTTGTGATGTAATCCCAGCTACTCAGGAGGCTGAGGCAAGAGAACTGCATGAACCTGGGAGGCAGAGGTTGCAGTGAGCTGAGATCGCGCCACTGCACTCCAGCCTGGGCAACAGAGCGAGACTCCATCTCAAAAACAAAACAAAACAAAAAACAAACCTAAAGCAACTGGAAGCACATAAGATGAGAGCGGAAACGAACTAAACAGAAAAATGATAGAGAAAATAAATGAAACCAAAAGACCAACACTGAAAAACTTCCCTTTTTTTAATGTGAAGATTTCAGAAGCATGAAGAACCTTTAGCTAGACTATAGACCAAGAAACAAAGAGAGAAGACTCAAATTACTAAAACCAGGAATGAAAGATACTCTACAGTAAAAACGAAGGAGTATCCAGCTTTACCTATAATAACACCATGAAAAACTGCATCTAACAAACTACTGACTTTACAGGAGAAATGAAAAAGTATCGGCTTTACCTGTAATACCACCATGAAAAGCTGCATGCTAACACATTCAATAACTTACTTGAAGCTGACAAATTCCTAGGAAGACACAAACTACCACAGCTGACTCAAGAAGAAACAGAAAATCAAAATAAACCTGTATCAAGTGAAGAGATTAACCCACTTAAGCTGGAGGCTGCAAATCTTTTTTGTGAAAAATCAGACCTTGGTGATGACCTTTAGCAGGATATAAGTAACTTCCACAAGCTCAGCATTCCAATAATGGAACACTAGGCATAAAACGGTTAACTTAAAAACTTCCCACAAAGAAAAGCCTAGGTGCAGACAGCTTGCCTGTGAATTCTACCAAACATGTAAAGAGGAATTAACACCAATTCTTCACAGTCTTCCAAAATTATAGGAGGGCACACTTCCCAACACATTCTATCAAGCTAGCACTGCCCAGACAAATCACAAGAAAACAAAACTATAGGCCAATATCCCTCACAGCCCCAAGCCCATTACAGCACCTGCTCCACCTCTGGAGGGCTGGAGACTAAGGCTGGCCACGTAGGGCCAGCTGTGTCTCTGTGATCAGTCCCCAATACAATCTCTGGATCTCGAGGCTCAGGTGAGCTTCCCTGGATGGCACCACCCCAGACTGCCACACACACATCCTCACTAGAGAAACAGGCACTGTGCTGTCTACATGACCCCAATGGGAAAGGACAGCTGGCAGCTCACACCTGGTGGCTCCTGGACCCTGCCCCATGTGCCTCTTCCCTGGGCAGATTTTAACCTGCCTTCTTTCACTGTAATAAACCACAACTGTGAGTACAGTCATTCTTCCTTATCCCTGGTTTTGCTTCCATGGTTCAGTCATGTGAGGGAAAGAATAATACAATATTGAGGTGGGGGGAAGCAAACCACATTCGTATTACTTTATTGCAGTATATTCTTACTGTCCTATCATTATTACTATTACTTTTTTAAAAGATGGGGTCTTACTCGGTTGCCCAGGCTAGAGTACAATGGCACGATCCTGGCTCACTGCAACCTCCACCTCCCAGGTTCAAGTGATTCTCCTGCTTCAGCCTCCTGAGTAACTTGGATCACACGTGTGTGCCACCATGCCTGGCTAATTTTTGTAATTTTAGTAGAGGCGGGGTTTCACCATATTAGCCAGGCTGGTCTCAAGTTCCTGGTCTCAAGTGATCTGCCTGCCTTGGCCTCCCGAAGTGCTGGGATTACAGGTTTGAGCCACCATGCCTGGCCTTATTGTTATTAATCTCTTACTGTACTGAATTTATAAATTACACATTATCATAGGCATGAATGTACAGGAAAGACACAGTATGTGAAGGGTTTGCTACCTTCCCTGGTTTCAGGCGCCCACTGGGGGTTTTGGCTTGGGGATACTGCTGTATAAAGCCTTTTCTGAGTCCTGCAGTGCTTCTAGTGAGCTATTACCCTAAAGGTGGTCATGGGGACTCCCAAACTCTCAGATGCTGTCAAAAGTGGGGATGGTCTTGGAGACTCATGAACTCTGCAACTAGAAATCATTGAATTGTACATTTTAAGTGTACAAGGGCGAGTTTACGGTCTGTGCATTGTATCTCAATGAAGTCATCAAGAAAAAGTACCCTTTAACATAACCACAATCCCATTATCACACCCCAAATTATGTCAATAGGCTGACTCTAGAAATGCAATAAAAATATTACACAGGCTCATGGAGATTTCAAAGTCATTACCTAGGTCATTCAAAGGAGAATGATTTTTTTCTTGAGATGGGGTCTCGAATTTTAGCTTGATACACAAATGGACATTCTTTCTACTCTAATTCCTGCTCTGAATTACGCCTCCAAATTTTGGCTTGCTCATTTTCAGACCATGTCTTTCTGTATGCTCTCCCTGGAATCTCCCCTTTCCGGCCAGTCTATCACAGGCCAACTCTAACAGACTCTCTCAAGCACGCCATGTGATAAACAAAACTTCTTTTTATCCTGGCGGCTTAAACCCTAGAGCCCTCCCTTCTCCTGCTCTGTCATGGACGTACTGGAAATGGGGTGCTGTCAGCAGACTTTAAGAGCCTGATCACCCTGAGACTTCCTTATACTGTCTCATGCATGAGAACCACTGTTCTGGATTCCCAAGTGTTCTCTTTCTTGGTTTGCTCACTTATTCTGCTGACAGATGACCCCATGTAACACCCTGAGAAGGGGTGCATGAGGGTAAACTTTTTGAGGCTTTTCATGTTTAATGTGTCTTTCACCGCAGCCTCTGCCTCCCAGGTACAAATGATTCTCCTGCCTCAGCCTCCGGAGTAGCTGGAATTACAGGCATGTGTCACTATGCCCAGCTAAGTTTTTGTATTTTTAGTAGAGACAGGGTTTCCCCAATTTGGCCAGGCTGGTCTTGAACTCCTCAGGTGATCTGCCCACCTCAGCCTCCCAAAGTATTGGGATTACAGGCGTGAGGCACAGTGCCTGGCCTAATATGTCTTTCTTTTGTCTCATCTGTGGTTGACAGCTTGGTGTGACAAAGAACTCTATGCTCAAATTCATTTTCTCTTGAACTGTGAAAGTCTCTCTTTCATGGTCACTTAGTGTCTGGTACGGGATATAAAACTGTTGATGCTAGTTTCATTATTTTTGAGACAGGGTTTCATGCTGTCACCCAGGCTAGAATGCAATGGTGTGATCATAGCTCACTGTAGCCTCCAACTCTTGGACTCAAGTGGTTCTCCAGCCTCGGCCTCCTGTAGCTGGGACTACAGGCAAGTACCACCAAGCCTGGCTAATTTTTAAACATTTTTTTGTAGACACTGGGTCTTACTATGTTGTCTAGGCTGGCCTCCAACTCCTGGCCTCAAGTGATCCTCCCACCTGGGCCTCCTAAGTACCGGGACTGCATCTGGCCCATTTCAATATACAATTAAAGGTGGGTTCTTGCCTTAGCAATCGGTTGCCGCTCTTTTCCAGGCCCGCTCCGGCATCGCCCTGTATCTATGCTTACAAGTCCCTTCTACCTTCTAGAGAGGGACAGGACTCCCTCATCCTGAGATGTCCCACTCCTTCCTGTTCTCCCAGTGTCTTATCTGAGCCTTTATGAATGAAAACTTCTCTGCAGCCTCAGGCAGGAAAGAAGAGAAACACATGTGCATACTCCCTCTTCTTTCTTGAATTGAAAACTGCCTTTAATTAGAAACACAACCTGAGTACATATCCTAACAAGACAATGTCCTGACATGAAATATGCTCCTTATAGAATTAGCAAGCCCACAGCCTTAAAATCAGCAAAAGCACCATGCACAGATGCATGGCCACGGCCCCATCCCAAGGCATTTTGAGACAGGCAGCACCGACCTCTGACAGCCTCTGGATTGAGAGCACATGGGACTTCACACGTTTACGAATCACAATCTTAAACAGTCCCTCTTTCACTAATGACAAAACTGTTTAATGAACTTATTACTCCAGAAGAGCACCCATTTTGAGTTTTACCATCAACAGAACTTCCAACACCTTTTCCAAGAAACATTTAAGAGACTTGTATATGTACTCACGTACACATGCAAGAAAGATCAACTTCAGTATTAGTGAGTAATGTGGGAGGGAAAACAGTTGTTACCTTGTAAACAATTAAATGGAGCTCTTCGTAAGTGTCATCTGTATTTACAAAAATTTTGGGGAATCTGCATTTTGCATCTGGATCATTAAGGTTCAAGGGTCCGGTAAGAAATCTTAAAAGCAAGAACAGACATGACTTGATTCAATGAGGTGAATTAGAAACAGGAATCTAGAAGCAGAACACACTCCTCCTTAATATACACCAGTTGTTTTCGACACCAGGTGATATTTGGAAAACATTGTATCAGAATATGCTGGCCGGGCACAGTGGCTCACACCTGTAATCCCAGCACTTTGGGAGGCCAAGGTGGGCAGATCATCAGAGGTCTGGAGTTCAAGACCAGCCTGGCAAACATGGTGAAAACCCCTCTCTACTAAAAATACAAAAATTCGCTAGGCAAGGTGTCGGTAATCCCAGCTACTTGGGAGTCTGAGGCAGGAGAATTGCTTGAACCCAGGAGGCGGAGGCTGCAGTGAGCTGAGACCACTCCAACCTAGGTGACAGAGACACTCTGCCTAAAAAAAAAAAAAAAAAAAAAAAAAAAAAAAAAAAAAAAAAAAAAGGTCCTCTTTCCGCCATCTTTCCGTGCCGCCACAATGGTGCGCCTGAATGTCCTGGCTGATGCTCTCAAGAGCATCAACAATACTGAAAAGAGAGGGAAACGTGAGGTGCTTATTAGGCCTGCTCCAAAGTCATCGTCCGGTACCTCACAGGCAGGCTAAACAAGTGTGGTGTGATCAGCCCCAGATTTGATGTGCATCAAAGATCTAGAAAATGGCAGAATAATCTGCTTCTGTCCCACCAGTTTGGTTTCATTGTATTGACAACCTCAGCTGGCATCATGGACCATGAAGAAGCAAGACGAAAACACACAGGAGGGAAAATCCTGGGATTCTTTTTCTAGGGATGTAATACATATATTTACAAATAAAATGCCTCATGGACAAAAAAAAATAAAAGGTATGCTAAAGTAAGTTTTAACTCATTGGGAACAACCAACTTGCCTTTGCTGGTTACTGTCAATCAGATGGCACAAAGATATTTCAATGTCCATGATGTTATCTTTACCAAAAAGATAACAGGGGCTAGGCGGGGTGGCTCAAGCCTGTAATCCTAGCACTTTGAGGCCGAGGCAGGTGGATCACTTGAAGTCAGGAGTTCAAGAGCAGCCTGGCCAATATGACGAAACTGTCTCTACTGAAAATACAAAAAAAATTAGGTAGGCATAGTGGCTTGTGCCTGTAATCCCAGCTACTTGGGAGGCTGAGGCATGAGAATCACCTCAGCCTGGGAGGCAGAGGTTGCAGTGAGACGAGATCATGCCATTGCACTCCAGCCTGGGTAATGAGCCAGACTGAGTGGGGAAAAAAAAAAGATAATAAAACCCATTATCTTAAATCAAAGAACTAAAGTCCTACCTTCCATAGTGTTGAAGATTTCCTGGCATTTCTGCTCTTATTGGAGAATCCCTTCCTGCCAACTGCAAATAAATTTAATGTTGAGAATGATGTATTAGACTTTTATTTTCCAAGCTTTGAAAAACAGCATTCATTATCTACTAATTGGTTCCATGTCATTTGTCTTTTTCTTTTAGAGACAGGATCTTGTCCTGTTGCCCAGGCTGGAATGCAGTGTGGCATGATCATGGCTCACTATAGCCTCAAGCTCCTAGGCTCAAGCGATCCTCCCACCTCAGCCTCCCAATACAGGCACATGTGATCACACCTGGCTACTTTTTACATTTTTGGCCAGGCGAGGCAGCTCATGCCTATAATCCCAGTACTTTGGGAGGCCAAGTCAGGCAGACTGCTTGAGCCCAGAAGTTTGAGACCAGCCTGGGCAACATGGTGAGATCCCATCTCTACAAAAAATTACCCAGGTATGGCGGTGTGCACCTGTAGTCAGCTACTTGGGAGGCTGAAATGGGAGGACCACATGAGCCCAGGAGTTTGAGACCAGCCAGGTGAACATAGTGAGACCTCGTCTCTTAAAAAAAAAAAAAATTGGAAAGAAGGACAAGAGGGAGGGAACACACAAGCAAAGAGAGTGAATTCAACTGGCCAAAATGATGATGTATGTGTGTTAAGCTACGAAGACACTTGGGGAGAACACTGATACCATTTAACAGTTCTCTGCAAGAAACGGGGAAATTAAGTACTAGAGTGGAAAGCCAGGCATGCAATAAAACATCTATTCAAAATTACATCTCATGTTAACAGAGGAAAAGACTACGCAGGTCCATTGTTTTAAAGACCACTGGCATTCTTTTTAAGACAGAGTTTTACTCTGTCGCCTAGACTGGAGTACAATGGTGTGATCCTGGCTCACTGAAACCTCCGCCTCCCGGGTTCAAATGATTCTCCTGCCTCAGCTTCCCGAGTAGCTGGGATTACAGGAGCACACCACCAGGCCCGGCTAATTTTTGTATTTTTAGTAGAGATGGGGTCTCACCATGTTGGTCAGACTGGTCTCGAGATCCTGACCTCATGCTCCGCCCCCACTTGGCATCCAAAAGTGTTGAAATTACAGCCATGAGCCACCAGGCCCAGCCAGACCACTGGCATTTTAAAAGTTACTAGAACCCTATCTAAAATCCAATTTTTCGGCCAGGAGTGGTAGCTCACACCTGTAATCCCAGCACTTTGGGAGGCCCAGGCAGGCAGATTATGTGAGGTCAGGAGTTAGAGATCAGCCCGGCCAACATGGTGAAACCCCTCTCTACTAAAAACACAAAAATTAGCTGGGCGTGGTGTCAGGCACCTGTAATCCCAGCTACTTGGGAGGCTGAGGCAGGAGAATCGCTTGAATCCTGGAGATGGAGGTTACAGTGAGCTGAGATCACACCACTGTACTCCAACCTGAGCAACAAGGAGGAAACTCTGTCTCAAGAAAAAAAAAAAAAATAGGGTCGGGTGCGGTGGCTCATGCCTGTAATCCCAGCACTTTGGGAGGCTGAGGTGGGCAGATCACTTGAGGTCAGGAGTTCGAGACAATCCTGGCCAACATATAGTGAAACTCCATCTCTACTAAAAAATACAAAAATTAGCTGGATGTGCTGATGCATGCCTGTAGTCCCAGGTACTTGGGAAGCTGAGGCAGGAGAATCGCTTGAACCCAGGAGGTGGAGGTTGCAGTGAGCCAAGATCACACCACTGCACTCTAGCCTGGGTGACAGAATGAGACTGTCTCAATAAAATAAATAAAATAAAGTCTAATTTTTCCTCTACTTAATGACTCACTCCTCTTAAAAACATGCTTTCTGTGTTGTATCTGAATGTAATACACTGGAGGAGAGCTGCATATGGTTTTCTGTGCTACTAATTGATACACAATGACATAAATATCACACTAACACAAAATATACATAAGAAATGCCCCCATGCACCATCATCTTACTCCACCCACCCTCTCTGTGCCCCTAGATGTGAGTGTGTACGGCTGTAGTACCCATCATACCTCAGGTTCGATGTGCCTTGGAAAAAGAGAGGTGGTAAGGTATTTGTATAAAATTCTCATGTCATCTTGTTCTAATCCACTCCTGAAACATCAGAAAGACATTGTGTTAAACGTTTGGAATTGTCTTCTGTCTTTTCACTGCTCTGTGATCAAGCTCATTTTTTATTAAAAAAATTTTTTTTGAGACAGTGTCTTACTCTATCACCCAGGCCAAGTGCAGTGGCATGATCATGGCTCGCTGCAGCCTCAACCTCCAGGGCTCAAGTAGTCCTCCCATCTCAGCCTCTGGACTAGCTAGGACTACAGGCATGCACCACCACACCCAGCTAATTTTTGTGTTTTCTTTAGAGATTGGGGGTCTCACTATGTTGCCAGGTTGATTTTGAACTGGACTCAAGCAGTGCTCCTGCCTCAGCCTCCTAACAAGCTGGGATTACATATGTGAGTCATGTGCCCAGCCTCATCTTTTTTTAAGAGACAAGTCTGGTCTCTCACTCAGGCTGGAGTACAGTGGTGTGATCACAGCTCACTGCAGCCTCCGATTCCTAGGCTCAAGCAAACCTCCCGCCTCAGCCTCCTGAGTAGCTGCGACTACCAGTGCTTTTTTCTTTAACATTATGTCAAGAAGTTCACCACATGACTGGGAAGCTCAGGAAGGCAAAGAGTTAAACTTCAGTCCAGGCACTAGAACTTTACCCTGACCTACAGAAGACTACTCATATGTAGTCTTGTATTTTACATGCCATTTGAGATAAAAAGCCACAAGGGATCTAGCTCTCTGGTTGAATTCTGTATAGCATTATTTAGGAAACCTTAAAAGCCATCCTGGTTCATTTTAGGAGCAGATGTCGCCTAGCTTCCTAGGTTATACGGTAATGCCACATTCTCCCCCTAGTTCCCTGGGAAAAAATACGTCTGCTGTAGACATGGAACATGGTCCTGGGTCTCAGAAATGTACATGGATTTTAATTCTCTGGATCGTGGTATAGAAAAAAGGGGGAGAAAGAAAGAAGCTTTCAGGAAAACCATCTAATCTGAAATGAGGCAGGAAGGAACAGCATGTAGAAAAAGCACTGAAGAACTAGCAGACAACAGACTCCGGAATTGTTTTTTTAACAGAACAGACAGACAATGAGGCTGAATCTGGGGGTTTTCTATTCAAAATCATTGAACTATCCTGAAGGAAATCTCTCTTTCCGGGAACCAGGCCTTTCCACCACATCCCAGAGGTGCCCTCTTTTCCCAGCAAGGTCACATGTTAGGGAAAGTTATAAATGCTGCCCCTGCCCTAGGCCCTGCCACTTTATGTCTTACTTTCTCCTTTTCCACATCTACCTCTCTTCTTTGAAGGTTTGATTTCCATGAGTCTTTTTATTTTTGTATTTTTAGTAGAGATGGGGTTTCACCATGTTTACCAGGCTTATCTTGAAGTGACCTGCCTCAGCCTCCAAAAGTGCTGGGATTACAGGTATGAACCACTGTGCCCAGGTGACTTCCATGAATCTCATCCACGACTAAACCTGTATGGGAGCCCCATATACAGGATTTTTTTTTTTTTTTTTGAGACAGTCTTACTTCCTCTGTTTTACACACACACACACACACACACACACACACGGAACCTCCTACAGCAGGTTGTTTTTTGCCAAATAGAAAGTTCCAGGACCCAAGGTAAAGCCAGCAAAGAAGTGATTCAAAACCATTAATACGGCCAGGCACAGTGGCTCACACCTGTAATCCTAGCACTTTGGGAGGCTGAGGCAGGCAGATCACTTATGGTCAGGAGTTTGAGACCAGCTTGGTCAACATGGGAAAACCCTGTCTCTACTAAAAATATAAAAATGTAGCTGGGCATGGTAGTGTGCTTATAATCCCAGCTACTTGGGAGGCTAAGGCAGGAGAATTTCTTGAATCCAGCAGGCGGAGGTTGCAGTGAGCTGAAATCGTGCCACTGCACTTCAGCCCAAATGACAGAGCTCGTGAGACTCCATCTAAAAAAAAAAAAAAAAGGTATTTTAACTCTGCATAGGCAACCTCTCTCTTATCTGTCACCTCCATTCCTAGCATTCCTAGGCCTTCTCCCTTCCAAAAGACAATGAAGCAATACTGAAATATTAAATTATAGTTATGCAAGATGTTATGTGAGTCATCAATGATTGCCAAACAAAAAGTCTTTTACCAACCAAGTGCCAGGTCCCAGTCACATTCTAGTAGATGTCTCCACTCTCATTGGGTAATTTCAAAACATTATACTGGCCTAGGGCAGTGGCTCACGCCTATAATCCCAGCACTTTGGGAGACCAAGGTGGGTAAATCACCTGAGGTCAGGAGTTCAAGATAAGCCTGGCCAATAATGCAAAACAGCATCTCTACTAAAAAAAAAAAAAAAATACAAAAATTTGCCAGGTGTGACAGTGTGCCTCTAATTCCAGCTCCTTGAGAGACTGATGCAGGAGAATTACTTGAACCTGGGAGGTGGAGGTTGAAGTGAGCTGAGATCGCA